AGGCTTAATTCATCAATCTCTTCCCCAAGTCAGTAGCTACCTTGGTCAACAGAGAAAAATTACAAAGCAGCATTTTAATGATAATGGTAGGCTTCTTGATCCTTTCAATAAGTTACAGTTCCATTTTATATATACACACACACTTTAAAGAGAATTCAATCTATCAATTTATAATTATTGCCTGAATGAGTACACCTTTCACCCATGTACCGATCACATTATTAAAAATGAACTTCTATTTTACAATGTATATTTTAAATACAACTGTATATAATACTTATAAATGGTACGAGGAATAAGTGCCACATATGCCCTCTCGTTTCTTCCCTCTTTTTTCCCCCAAAAAGCAGGAAAAAGTGGGGATTTTTCCATTTTCAAAATTTCTAGAGATTTTGCCTCTCTAACTGGGAAAGGATGGACAGTTCCACCCTCAATGGAGCAAGTCCTCTAAATATGTCAACTTTCACCACCAACCCTGAGTCACTAAGCACTTCAGATCCCAATGCTGTGCAACTCAAAATCTTATGCTCCAAGCCAATGCATTCAAAAACATTTTATGTTTTGGGGAAACCGGATGGCTCCAACTTTTGAGAAGTCCAGTTGCAGACTAAAAGTGCTGACTTCTGGAATTCCTCAACTACAAATCCTATTTGAGGTTTTGTTAAGCTTTACTGGAGCATTTCCTCACACAAAAATGCCACAGTAGAGAATCAAACAAGCCACAACCACACTGGGACTCTGAAAAGCAGCTGCTAAGAAAGCAAACCCAGTGTCAAATTTATGGTTGGGCTGAAAGCTTTTTTAACTCATGGCAAAAGTCCATGAGAAGAAAAATGCAGCCTGGATGATCACCCAGGGCCAGCTCAGAATAAGACTACAAGAAGATTTTTAGCAGTGTTATTTTGTCGCGTCCTACAAGATCACATGCATTGGTACAAACATCTTTCTGGGTGTGCTGCATACACATTAGACACCTCTGGTATATCTGTCCTTCCCTCTCAGCCCAACAGCCAGACTGGCATGCAGGTAGTCCTTGTTTAATGATACTAAGACCAGAAATTCTATCTTTAAGCAACATGCTCCTAAGTATGTGACCACACTGCTGACAGAAGTTTTAGCAATCCCTCATTGCTTATGTGACTGTAACTAAAGAATTCCTGCTGGCTTCCCCATTGACTTTCCCTGTGAAAAGCTGGCAGGAAAGGTTGCAAAGTGTGCTCAGATGAATGTGGGGATGCTGCAACAGCCATAAGTACAAAGTTCAGTCACAACAAGTGGTCATTAAACAAGGGCTACCTTTGGTTGTGAAGGTGCTGGACTGGGAGAAGGGAAATGTATGTTTCCCACAGAAGCTGATTGACATGACTTTGAGCCAGTCACTCTCCCACACCCCAAGAACCGGATGGTCCAGTGGTGAAGGCTGGCCTGTTGCTCCAGAGTGACTTAGTGATCTCCCATCTTCTTTCACCTTCTCAGCCATATCCTAGGAGAACTTTGGGTCAGTCTCTCCCTGTTAACCCTGTGCTGGAAAGTCAAAAAATATCAATCTACCAATACTTATTGGGGCAGCATGGCACATTATGTCCATAGCCCTTCAGGAAGAGGATTTTATCCTGTGGCAGATTAATCCAGGCTTATCGTAATACACATGAAATCCAAAGTATAAAATATGACTATACAGGAGTATCAGTAATCAATAGTTTCAAATTCCAAAGCTGTGACAATTAAGTGCAGCTTACAATCTATATTTTTGCAGCATGGAAAATTTAAAAAACTATTTTTGGGAGGCCATACTAAAGGGAGAAATTTCAGACACAATGTAAAACAGAAGATACCATATATAGCAGTCAAATCTTGTTTTTGTAATCAAGAAGCAGCCCTGTCCTAACTCGAACAGTGATGTTCATTACGACACCAACAGAACAGAATTTAGGGCTCCTGATCACAGGGTGAGTGAAAGTTATTCTAATGGGTGAAGACTGCAACAATAAAAGGTAAGTTTAACAACTTGCTTAATGTAAGAATTCCCTACAGATACGATTCTCTGGTCCAGCAACCTCTTTTGGACAACCTAATTTAGCAAATACCTATGGCATTCAAGCCAACACCATACATGTAGCCATCATTTAACCAACCGATGGTTGGGCATTTACCCAGCAGTATCACTACATTTTAGGACAATCAATTTCATGGATCATGTTGCGAGAAATACTTTCTTCAAAGTCTTCTGCCTATCAATTTCACTAGACAGTCTCTGATCCAAGGAAGAAGCACCACTCCCATGACCTGTGAAATTCTATCTTAAAAACCACTTTGTCAACTTCAAATGGAAGTTGACAAAGTCAAAGTCCCATCAACCATATGGGAACTCCTGACCCTCAAGATGCTGCTCAACCATGATTCCCACTTATCCCAGCTAGTATGGGCAATGATGAGGGAAGACGGGAGTTGGAATGTGATACATTTGGGAAAATTGGTTTCCTCATACTTTTATTAGGAACTTTTCCACCACGCAGCCTTACATTGGAAACCAGCTATCAATCTTTCAAGATAACCAGGTTAGGAAACAGATTTTGAAGGACTAGAAGTATCCTTTATTGCAACCCAATCTTGCAAGTTTGTCCATGTCTTCTCTTCCCTCCCTCAAAGAGTCAGGGAAGTAGGAGGGAGCTAGACAGAATTCCTTTATAATACTCTCCCACTTCTCTGGATATAACATAGGTTTAGTCTGAAAATAATTATTCCCTAAAGACCTCCTGGTTCCTTCTCCAAGGTCATCCCCCTAGCTTCCTACATCAGCTAGCAATTAAGTCACCATTCTGGATTTCAACCCTGTCTTCATCACAACAGGGATGGCCCATATTCTGCCCAGGTGAGCTCCGTTGCTTCTTTAATCCTCCCACCCATGGCCTTAAAAGACCTGCGATTTCCATTGGCAAACTTTCTTCATCTAACCTTCCACCACTGACTTGGCCTTGTACTTGATCCTTTTGGACCTGTCTGACTTCTCTACCATGTTCATCTAAATCAACATGTCCAAAGTTAGCAGCCATACAAGAGTACGCAAGAGTACAAGAGCTGGGACAACCCAGCCCTAGGAAATCAGAAAGTATCCCTTGATCGTCTTCAATTGTTCTTCCTGTTCCCATCTCAGTTTTAATTTCAGAACGCTTGACTTGGGCAACATCAACCGGCTGTTAAATAAAACACCCATTGTACTTTTAAGGTTGGATCAACCATCTTCTTGTAGAGGTTGCCATAAGCAACCCCTACAGGAAATAATATTCCTCTTTTACGATAATTATAATAATCCAAATATAATTCCTACGAGAGAGTATTTGTCATCGCGTTAATCGTTATGCAGTGGTAATTGGAAGACCACCATTATCACACTTTTTAAAAGCAGTAGAATGTCTGGGGAGGGGGGTTTGTTAGGAGACAGAAACTAACCGAAAAGAATAAACTAAGAGCACAATGTGGACAAAATAAAATACCTAAAAATAAACAATATTAAAAAAAAAAGTGGATAAACAATGTGTTGATAGAATATTTGCAGCTCAGGGTTGGACTGGGGAGCCCTTGTTGCTCTTGGTGGTTTTCTTGCAGACCTTTCATTACCCAATTAAGTCCCCACAACAAAAGAAAACAAAAGCTAATATTTATTTATTAAACTTACATCCTGTCCATCTCCCTGTTGAAGCAATTCTACTAATCATCCCCACCACCCTCTTTCCCAGAGCAGCTTTTTTTTTCTTTCATTTTTCTGAAGAAGGAAAAAAAAAAAAGGAAAATAAACGCTTTTCATCCCTGAATGGTGAAGGGCTGCCAGGAGATCTTGCAATCCTTGCAAGACGATGGACAAAACAAGGGGAAGGCCCTCGAAAAGAGACATCGGTGCTCAGGGAGAAAGAACTACACTTCCCAGCACCCATCGTTCGATAAGCCGCGTCCCCTCCGCTTCCTTGGAAACCCATAAGCCACTCCATAGCTTCCTAACCAGGGCTGTTTTTTTGGTTGGGGTTTTTTGTTTTTTTTTTTTGGTGCAAAAGCGGGGGAAAAACAACAACTCAGGCTGGTCTTAAGCAAGAAGCCGGCTTTTCAAGAGGCCCGAAGTCCGGGGTTTTTTTCTCCCGGGACGAAGCTTTTTTTTTGCACCCATCCCGTGCAAAGGCGGAGAACCGGGCTGGAAGAAACAAGACACCCCCCCCACCCGAAGGGAGACAGACACGCGGGAACTTCTAAACGGGGCTGCTCAGATCAGTCAATATTCAAATTATCATCTTTATTATTATTATTATTATTATATCTGATCAAGTGCAGTGAGACACCAGACATCAAATGGTTTGTGGGGGAGGAGTTAGTATACATTGAGCACCCCGTTTTTAGGCAAGATGTCGGAGGGGGGGGGGGAATGGGAAGATCACCGAAATGTCTGCCCGGGTTGACCTGAGGTATCTCTACCCCACCACAAAGGAGGGAGCTGCCCCCAGACGAACCGAAGCCCCTTTTTCTTCTTCTTGGTGGGATTCCTCAGACCAACGCTCCCCTCAACGGACGTCTCGGGCTCGTCGTGAGGGACGGGGCGGGGGGGAACTTATGGGGCCGGTTCCCCTCAGGGAAAGACGCCTTTCTCTGGACACACACAAACACACACATCCACAGGAGGCTCCTCGCGTTCAGAGTGTTACACGCGGGTTTTCCCCCACCCCTCAGGCACCTTTCCCCCACCCCCCCACCGCCACAAAAGTCTCCTCAGCGCTGGGCCCGTCGCCCTCGCCCCCCCCCACCGCCGCCGAACTGCGCTCCCCCCTCAGGCCCAGCATATCTGAGGGGGGCCCTCGGGGCCTCCTTCCCGCGCGCCACCGCTGCCGGAGCACCCTCATAGTCGGGCCCCGAAGGCAGCCGAGGCCCAGCGCCCCGGCGCCGGCTCCCCTCAGGCCCGCCGGCACTTCTGGCCCCCGTCCTCTTCCTCCCGCCTTTCCACCCCCACCGGGACTTACCGGGCCCCGCGGCGGCCCCGGGGGCGGCTCCCCCGGCCGGGTACATGGCGGCCGAGCGCCGGGCTGCGTGGGAGGCGAGCGGCGCGGGAGTCCAGGCGGCGGCCGCGAGGGCAGGAGCAACGGCGGCGGCAGGGGCGGCCGAAAGAAAGGAAACCCGCCTCCGCCCGCGCCTCCGCCCCGAGAGGCTGGCAATGGGGCCGCCCTCCCTGCGGCCGCCCCGCGCTTCTCGCCGCCGTCGGCCGGACGCCCCGCTTCAGCTTTCCCGGCGTGGCGGGGGGGTGGGCGGCCGGGCATCTCAGCCGGCCTTCCGGGGCTCACGAGGCGGGCGCCGGAGCGGCCGGTTCCCACGTGCCGGGCGGCGTCGGTGGTTCTCCCTCGGTGGCTCCGGAACCGGAGCCGAGCCGGGCAGATGCCGGTTTTCTGAGCCGGCCGCGGCACGATTGGGCCTTGGCGTTTTTGGCCGACCCGAGATTAGCATCTCGTGTGAAAGCGGCTCTCGCGTGTCGCCCGACTCCCGCGGAAAGAGGCTTTCGGAGGGGCCGCTCGCTTTCCCCGTGTTAACGGGCTTGGGAGGCCCGGTCAACGGCTTGCCAACGAAGACGTGCGAGACGGTTGCGAAGCGGGTTGTGGCCTTTTGGAACAAAAGGAAGGGACGCCGGCGAGGGACAGGTGGAAGAGTCGCCTGCCAAGCAAGAGTTTTTAACCTGTCTCGTTTATTTAAAACTGCACATTGCTTAGCAATTCAAATAATGTCATGCGTGCCTTTTATAAATGAGCTAGCAATCGTTCCGGTGGCCTGAAACGGTATATAGAGTTTCCTGCCTGAACAGGGGGTTGGACTAGAAGACCTCTAAGGTCCCTTCCAACTATTATTCACAGCACACTCCCTGTCTTTGGTATGCTGATTTTTATATCTATCCTGGAGATTGCATCATCCAAGTCGTCTAATGTTCATTGCATATCATGGCTTAACATATTATACATAACAGCGGCTTCCACGGCTGTACTGCCTGATAGCCATTAACGCACAAATCCCCAGTGCTTCTGCTGGTTGAACCCTGAGCTTCATGTCCCAAAGGTGCTTTTGCAGGGAAGCAACTGGACCTTCCTGTTTTTTCTTTTGAAGAGGTTTAGCTTCTCATCCAAGAAGCTTCTTCAGCTCTTCTTCGGGATGATGGGGAATGGAAGGATTCATATTCCTTGCAGACAGCTGGTCATTTGCATCCCTGAGCTTCAGATGAAGGCAGCCCTTTTAAGTCCTCAGATCTTCAGGTTGCCACGGTTGAGAAATACTGCTTTTAAGAGTGACTGGTGGTTTCCTGCTGGCTGTTGATGTCTGAGAGAGGAGGAAAATGAGTCATAAGTTGTCCCATCAATCCATGTCCCAATTTGCCCTTCTGGCTTTGGTCCTTCAACGGTTTCACCTATTGATATTCTATGTATGTATGTATGTTTCTGTCTGACTGTCCCAGGAGACAAAAACCTGGATAACGGATTGTTATCCCAACCTATTTTGATTAATAGCAATAAACTTAGACTTAAATACCACTTCACAGTGCTTTACAGCTCTCTCTGAGTCAGCCGCTTGCCCCTAACAATCTGGGTCCTCATTTTACTGACCTTGGAAGGATGGAAGGCTGAGTCAACCTTGAGTCAATCAGGATCGTACTGCCAAACTGCAGGCAGTCGGCAGGTAGCAAAAGTAGCCTGCAGTACAGCCTTGTACCTCTGCCAAACGCAGCCTCTTTTAGCCCCTCCATCTCTTTCCATCCTAAAGGAAATCAACCCTGACTATGGAGGCTTTTAAAGAAGAGACTGGACAGCTATTTGTCTGAAATTGTGCAGGGTCTCCTGCTTGAGCAGGGGGTTGGACTAGAGCAGGGGTCACCAACCTTTTGGACATCAGGGACCACCAAACTCATAATTTTAGATCCCAGGGATCACTAACTGGTTCTGCGGGTGTGGCCTAATTCGTGGGTGTGGCTTGGTGGTCATGTGACTGGCTGGGCATGGCTTGTGTGTAAATATTATAAATATTTATATACATGTTGAATTTTTTTTTTAAAAAGAGCAACTTTTACCCAAAATCAGGCAAAGCAGGCAGGCAGATTGAGTTGGTCACAGAATCATTCAGTGATCTATCTATCTGCCATTGGCTAGCTCAGTCTGTCACATAAAATTTGCTTGCAAGCAAACTCATAAAATTTGCTAGCAAGCAAACTCACAAAATTAACTCACAACACACCATGCATGTAAATATTGAATTTTTTATAAAAAAGAGCAACTTTTACTCAAAATCAGGCAAAACAGGCAGATTGAGTTGCTCACAGAATCATTCAGTGATCTATCTGCCATCGGCTAGCTCAGTCTCTCAAATTTGCTTGCTGTGAGTCTGCACTGAATTTGCTTGCAAGCAAACCTTCAGTCCTAAGGGAGGTTCGGCTATAATGATCCAAAGATCTAAAGACTAGCTAGAAAGCAAGAAATCCAACCATCTTCTGCTTCCTAGCTAATCTAAATCTCCCGGCACAGCAGAACAGATGATGGTCGGAAAAAGGAAAAATAGCAATTTAGCGGGCAAGTTTACCGGGTAAGGAGTGAGTGGGGGGGGGGGTTCCCATGGGCCATGTGGGCAGCACAGCCTTGTGTCTCTGTGCAGCCTGGATTAATTGCTTTGTGGGGGTGAGATTTCTCTGCGGCCCACCAAAATTTTCTCACGACCCACCGGTGGGCCATGGCCCACCGTTTGGTGACCACTGGACTATAAGACCTCCAAGGTCCCTTCCAACTCTGTTATTTTGAAGCTGAAGCTCAAACACTTTGGCCACCAAATTAAAAGAGAGGACTCTTTGGAGAAGACTCTGATGTTGGGAAAGACGGAAGGCAAAAGGAGAAGGGGACGGCAGAGGTTGAGATGGTCAGATGGTGTCATTGACATGGTGAACATGATTTTGGGCCAACATGGGGTGATATTGGAGGATAGAGGGCACTGGTGTTTGATGATCCCTGGGGTCATGGAAGAGTTGGGCATAGGGACTGAACAACAACAAAATTCCCTTCTATTCCTTTAACCATGCTAAGCAGGCTTTTTTTTCCTATTCCAGTTACATTATATACCCAAATAATTGAGCCTAGTTCTGTTCGATAATTAGAATGACAATTGAGCAGTTAAGTCCAGGGATGATTGATGGACCGATTCTTCTTGCAATCCATGGGTTATCTCCAAATCCATAATCTGAAAGGGTCTATCTTTCATTCCTTCTTTCTCAATGTCCATCTTTCAGAATATAATATTGGTGAAAGGCAGCCTTTTAACTGTTCAGATCTTAATGATTATTGAAATACCCGTAACAGTTTGCCTCAGTTTGTCATTTGCTTCCTAGAATTAATCTTCACTTCAGATCTCTAAAGTAATGCTCACCTTCATTCCAGAAAACAAAACTATTACTGTCTTCGCTTGTCTGTGGAGATTCTCAGTCATCCAGGTCATGATTGTCCCAAAGATGCTTTTTTGCCAAGAGGCAACTGGACCTTCTGGTTTTTCTTTGAAGATGTTTTGCTTCTCATCCAAGAAGCTGCTTCAGCTCTGAACAACCTTCTTAGATGAGAAGCAAAACATCTTCAAAGAAAATCCAGAAAGTCCAGTTGCCTCTTGGGGGAAAAAAAGCACCTTTGGGACTATCTTCACTTCTTTACCGTCAGCTGGGAATTCTCCAAACATGAACGTTGTCTTTTTAATAGTTAATATTTTTTTAAAAAACAAATTTTATTAATTTTTAAAAAGAATACACAAACAAACAAAACATAAAATATTTCTGAGAGCTACTTATTGAACTTTAACAAAACAAATAAAACATCTTATTTAAAAACAGCATAGTTCCAAATTATCACATTTCCATACAAGCACAATTTGATATGCATATTTATCTTATATATTCAACTTCATATCTTTTTTCAACTTCTATTTCTCTTCCATCTGTCTTGTTTACAATTTCATTGTTCTCTTCCAACATTCTTCTAGAATTTTATTGATTCAAACATAGACAGACAAAACACAAAACATAAATACATAAAACTTCTTTTTGGAAAGCGGCTTAACCCCGGGTTACATCTTTTTATACAGACATAAATCAGATTCATGCTCACCTTATATACTATTTCATATCTTATTTAACATTCTATATTTTCTATATGTTTTCTTTCCTCTATTCACTCTTAATTCTATTTTATTTATTTCATCTCAGTTTAAATCATTATAGTTGCATCTTTTGTCCGTTCTTTTTCAATTATCTATTTATCTTTTCTTTCTAATACAATATTTCTCCTGTAATACTGGTTGAAGTATGACGCCTTTTTATCTTTCCCCTAAATTTAACACTTAAAATAATACATACTTTCCAAACTGATTCTGCTTAGTACATTCTAAATACTACATTTTAGAATAATAAAAAAAGAAAAAATGTTTATAATATAGTAAAAACAATATTCCATAGGAAATTAAACTCTATTGTTAAATCTTAGACATTTTATACATTCCCTTTAATGTATTGTTAACTCATATAATATTCCAATTTTCTAACTATTTCAAATACTAATATCTACAATATAGTCTTATGTACTTTTGCAGAATCTTTTTTTTAATTGTATTTTACCCTTTGTCTCTAAAAAAAACTGTTTTTTAACATCTTGTTTTAAGCCTTTGTGACTTCTCTTCCCTTTTCCCCTTCCTTTCTTGCCGATTCTAGCTTTTTCCCCCCCCCCCCCATCTCTCAATCTCCGCTCTCTTAATCTCCCCTCTCTGTTGTATTCCTCTTTTCTGTTGCTTTCTGACATTGTATCAATTTTTCACCTTATTTTTCCCTTTCTTGGTTGCTTTTTCAAGTTCTGGATTCTCCATTTTCTTTCCCTTTTTTCTCTTTTCTTCCTCAACTAAGATTATTTGTCCATTAAAGATGGCTTCTTCTTCTTCATCCCAGCTTTCTTGTTGTTGTAATTCCTGATAGGTAGAAATTGCCATTTCTAAAAAATGAAAGATAGATCCAGAAGAGTCCTTGCCTTCTTGTTCCTCTTCTTTTAACTTTTGGAATTCCA